CTGACACATGTCGTTTAAATTTGATTCGGTAGAAAACTTATGAGAGCAAGATACAAAGATACTTGACAAGTTATGGCTCCAATGGTACTCGTAAGAATTTGCACTACGATATTGGTTCTTACGTCATCATCTCCATCGCCTTCAAATGCTGTTTGCACGGGGTTTTACATCTTTTGGCGACATTTATTCGATATTTAAAATTGGCCCAGTAGTTTCAGATTGAAAAAAGAAAATGCAAATCATTCCTCTATATCATTGGGATATTACTTCGATATAAAGTAGACATCGAATTAAATTCTTTTACTGCATACTATTGCCTACAGTTAGATCAACACAGAAAGTTTTTGTTAAGATTTCCATCACGTTAAGTGATATCTGTCACTATGATGCTGTCTTGTCTCAAGGGAAATTAACTCCAGACACCGTACTTCATGTTTTTTTTATATTTTTATTGTGTTTAATGATTGTAGTGAAACAAAAGAATATCTAGATATATGTCCGTTTTGCAAACCAATTTCTGCTAATAGATAACGAACATAAGTAATATTGTTATATGGTTGAAAATAGGGAAATTTCTGTATGAATTTAACATTTTATCTGCCTTCCTAATTCAGACCAGATTTTTTCACATACGTTGTACTTCAAGTAGAAATTAAATGGTATTTACAATATTGTAGAAAACATAAAATTAAAGGAGTAATGGGTGAGAAGGATTTGTTATGATGAAATAAGGTGACCTTGGAAACCAACGAAATAATCTCTAAAATTGATATCCGAAAATCATGAAATGTGACAATTTAAGCCGCGCCAAATGTCGTTTGCGCGACGTCAGCGCCATTATTCGGATTTCATTCCGTTCTGACAGCAACAGACGTCATGATTACGTGTTCAGATTTTAGCCCAGAGCTGTATCAGCTGTTTGTGTTAAGCTCGGAACTGTTAATAAAAACATTGTTGATCTTCGATCATAGAGAATGATATTTAGAGTCTTTAATAAAGCTTTAAGAGAGGCGTTATAGTGTAAGTTGTTTGTACTAGATCTATTCTGAAAAATAAATCGTTTTTTTTTTAAGTCATCTATCACATTTCCCCGCGTGTAACTATTTTTTGTACCAGCAATCTTTCAAAGTCCCATCTAAATCGTACTACCCGTTACTCCATTTTGACAGCGCGGTTTTTTAAAAAGTAGCCTATGATATGCCCAGCTATGTCAGCTACCCTTCAGTAAAGTCCGGTCAAATAAGCCCAGCCGTTTCGGAGATTACCCAGTAACAAACGCGGCTTGCGGCCAAACAAACAGACAAAAAAATTAATTCTTACACACAGACACTTCAATTTTATTATTTGTATAGATAATGAGAGACACCATGATATGATTGACAGAGTAAAGTCACTGAGGGTTTACAAAGTTACTTTACATAGAATCTTTGACGGTTTAACAATAACTTATTTTCCCTCTATATAAAGTCCCCGTGGCCAATTATCTGTATAAATTGATAGGCTTCGAAGCTTGGGAAGTGACTCGTTAGGCTTTAATACGACAGCTTGATCGACGTCTCTATACGTGTTCTGAATTTTCCGGTACAACATTATGCGGCTAATTTTGTGTCTATAAATTAAATATCTTTAATGGAAACGTATTCATTATATTATAACTCTCTTTACATAATAAAATATAGTCTACTCTAAGATAGAGAGTTTTATGTATGGTACATTGGATAGCCATAATTTTTTTTAACAGCATAACATTTTTATTTTCCGAATCCTCCAAAAGTAAGTCGTACTAAGTAGTAGATAGTACACGTTCGCACGTGCAGGATGTGGTTGTAGAAATTTCCAATAGTAGGTGATACAACTGATTTCGTGTTGGCGTTGTGCCATTTCAATTGTTCTCAACAAATCAACCTCCTGTTCGAGTAGGAAGTTGGCTCGAATAATCGACAATATATTTACCATGAATTCATTTTATATAAGAACTTTGTTGAAAGTTTGTGCCTTTTGTTACGAGTAGTCAAGCAGTGATCTCTTATTGCACAATTGTAATTATGTTTTTTTTCCGATATGCAAATATTAATAATAAACGACATATTTCCAGCTCAAACAAAGGTAGTTTTCTTAACATGTTCTTTCCACGAGTATTTAACAAATTTTAATAAACAATTTTTTGAGTTCACTGTAAATAATTTTAACGTCCAAACAGGTTAACATGAAATGAGAAATTATATTTATTTTTTCATTTTTGAGTGCAGAATGTAACACCATGTTGAAGTAAATATTAAATTCATATAGTGGCGTACTGATGCGAATATAGAAGAGAATATTACGTATTCATTTTGGGAATCCGCTGGGAAAAAGCTGGCAACCCCTTCTTATACAACATTGCTATTCGTGAAACGAAGTTACCCAAATCGAAATCAATTTTCAAGCGGAGATCGTTATCTGAACCACTCTTTTTCTTGTTACAATAACTTACGTTCGGTAACTTTTATAGAAAATATCCGCATCGATAGACGGGGAAAGTTATTTTCATTTCTTATTTATTCTAACAAATTCACGTTGCGAATGTAATCATAATATATTGTAACTTAAGAGCGAGCGCTCAGTTTCATTCTTATAACTACATATGTAGGTGCGCACAATACTCGATTCTTAGTTGTGCAACTAAATAGTTAAAGTGCCTAAGAAACAATCGACAATCGCACAACAGTAGTGCGATAGTTTAGTCACGTGTGTGCTCGTTCTAAATATACAGACACATTACACCGAAGTACTTTGGAACGCGACTCTCTACTAATGAAAGTATGTTTTAACAGTGGTAGGTTTAGTTCTTCATTGCTCGGTTTGCTCGACAAGTGCAATACCACGACTATACAAGGTAGCCTTGATAATAATTCATTGAATTACCCATTCAATCATTCATTTTTGAGTATTCTGACCTTATTTCTATGTTGTTGATCGACTTCCCAAAATAATTTTTACTACTTTTATTACAATAGTTCTTTTTCCCGCAGTTATTAATCCTTTTTAAGTAGTTTAAAACTAAATACAGAAGGCTGCAGAGAAGCGAATCCATTAAGAAGTTTGAAAACTTTATCTGAATTCAAAGACGCGGCAGGCGACTATATTTCGCACTGAAAGTGTAAATAAAGAAGGTTTATAATACATAAATTAATTAATGTGATATTGTTCAGACATGATGCCTATTTTATTTTACTCAAAATCGAAAATTTTCAAAAATCCTGGACCGTTTATTCCTCCATACATATTATACTAGCTGTTGCGACTTCGTCCGCGTCAGAATAACAATTATAGCCTATGTTGCTCACTAATAACGTAGTTTTCTAATGATGAAAGAATTTATGAAATCGGCTAAATAGTTTTTGAGTTATTTAAATACATACGAAAAAAAACCACAAATCTTTCCTCTTTATAGGTTTCCAATTAAGTGGGTACATATATTTAGTTAATGCATGTTTCGTAGTCTTTCCGTTTCTTTCAATGATAATGATTTACAAATTATAGAAATTATAGTTATTTTTACAAATATGTTTTATAAACCGTTGTTAATTCCGTTCAAAAGCAATCTTTTAATTAAGCGACCTTTTCGGTATTGATTAAGAGTTTGCTTTAGAGCGGGCGCACACCTTTGACCAAACTGTTGCGCGATTGTCGATTGTTTTGCATTTTATTCTACTGTTTAGTTGCACAACTAAAAATCCTGTAGTGTACATATTAATCAAAGTAAGACTAAACAGTCGTGCGATAGTTTAGTTTGCGGACGATCTTGTCCAATTCGTGATTGAAGCTTTACAATAAACTATAGGTACAGTAAGCAGTTAGTTGATTGGCAATGTGTCAAACACTTGCCAACATATATCGCATTTTACTGGACGCAGTTTGATCTGCAACAACCGAGTCGGTAACAAATGGCCAGTAATAAACTAGTCAAAGTGAAAGGTATTTACCAACAAACTATTTATTGCCATGCGGACTCATAAATTGTGACAGTGAACAGCACGGCTTTGCGAATGCCAAAGGCAATGGAGATATGACGTATCACTGAAACCTAAATTCCCGGACAATTAATGCATTTGAATTGTAATTTTTCATGGTAACCGAGTGAGAAATCTGATGAATAGAATTTACAAATTTGAATGGAAAAGTAAAGGATTATGTGCTGCAATTTATAGAAGCATTTTTAAATATATTTAGAGATGTGGTTCATATGAATTTCAGAAATGTTTATCATAAATATCATTCGTAATGAAAATCTAGTTATTTTTACTTCTGAATCATGTTTCACTTTGTCTAATTAATCGTCTCTTAGCAATGTACTGTAGGGGAATCTAACGTCGTTCCACATGTAACCAATAGGAAGTAGTTTTTAAATGTCTGTACAATAAAAAGGTAGGTCAGAGGTCCGCGGTTATTGCTTCTTATAACCCTGACGATTGCGTAATTAACCGCTGCCTCATTGATTATTTGTAAGTGGCAGAGTTCGTCCTGTTAAGGCACAAGGCATTTTTTTTAACTAAACACCGCGAAGCGTTCTGACTGTTCCTATAAAATTATTTTTGGAAGTCATTTTCACTAATGTGAAATTTGAAATGAAATGAAATGTGAAAGTTCAAAGCCTAGTGCTTTGAACTTTCACATTTCAAAGAGATGGATGGAGTGCGTGAAAGGAGACATGATCAAGAAGGGAGTGATTACTGAGATGACAGATGATAGAGTAAATTGAAGGAAAAAAACCGAGTGCCCTGACCCTACCGCAGTAGGCTAAAACAGGGGAGAAGATGATTAATGTGAAAGTTTAGATAGTTGGATGTTTGTTAGAGTTTGTAGCCTAAATTGTTGAACGGATCTTATGGAAATTTGGCATAGATGTAGAGTAGTCTGGTAGTTATTTTATTCTACCAGACTATTAGGTAGGTAAGAATTCACACGGAGTTACGGGCGAATGTTATTTTTAAGTAATTCAAGAATAATAATAGAACTAGTTGTCATCAAAACATTTATTCTATTAAATCGTATAAATATGTCGGTAGTTTCAATACAATGATTTCTTGATGTCAAAAGCTTAAAATACTAAAATACATTTTCGTAAATGCTGATTGGTATGTCATGTTTCATAATAATAATGTCTACTTAATATAAAACAGTCCAATTTCACCATAATTATAAACAATGTCGGAAAATTTTGTTCTTTGGTTTAACAATATTTTAAGTTACTTTTACAAACGGATACATTTGTCTAATAAAAAAAGACTAGTTAATTTAACATAGAAGTATGAACAACTAGTGGTAAATATATTTAATATTTCTACTTGTAAGTACTTAATAATATAGCTATTTATAAAGTATCAAGAACACTGATTTCTAGCAAAAAAATCAGACTTGAATATATTGTTTGCAATAAACCCACATGGCACGTTTAATCTGTTAACATATATATGAAAAATCGTTTAATCACAATGGCGGATCCAGTATTGTGATTGTTTACTGGTAATTTGATACTTGTAGAATTAGTATTTGGTACTCCTACAGGAACATTTTAGCAAAATCAATTTTAAAAATCTTGTATAGAATTTCATAGAGTTCAAATAAATATACTTGAGGATACAATCTCAATAATCAATCGTAAATACTGTTATTTGAAAAGTTCTTAAGGATTTTAGCATGTTTCCCTTAATTATCAGCTCAGACTCACAGAAGTATTTATTCCATTTTGTGATGTTCAAACCACTACTAATCATGCACACCGAAAGATATGAATAATAAATTACACTTACTTTAAATTTCCAGAAACTAAATAAAAATAGTATAGTTATCTAGTGATATTTTATACGAGTATAACAATAATTTTAGGCAACATAGTCGTCTGTTATAAAAACTAAAGTAATAATTAAACATTTTTAAATACGTGGGAAACTTTACTCATATTATTAACAAGTATATTATTCCAAAACTTTAAAATTATAATAAAATTAGGAGTTGTTGTTGTTGTTGCTAACAAAAAATCCATTCAAGAACACATTTATTATACACAATACATTGTTAAAATTAAAAATAAAAATGACTTGGTTAAGCTTCAGAGAATATTATGGTAATCAACAAAAATGATTTTATATTAACGTTATAATTTAGGGTTATTTTGTAAAATATTCGTGGAAATCTGGACCACGTGGGCGATGACCGTCAATTTTTTACATTTAAAGTCATTTCCAATATTGCATCTACTATTAACACTTTATTGCTTTTTATTAAGACGCTTCGTAAATCCCCGTACAAATGACGTTATTACACAAATAAATCTTAAATTAACTAAGCTATATCAAATGTAAAAGCAATATTTACAGTCTCAAATTAAATTCTTGGAATAAATATCACAAGAAATTCGATCGCATTCATCAACTAATTACAACCAATTCCGAAATACTATGCTTTAATATCATCCAACTAAGTATGTATTAATTTATATAAAAACATACAAGCATCTACGATGACACATTTTTACTCCAAACTCTGAGTATCGTAAATTTTACTTTAATAGGAATCTCGATTGAACACTAAGCTTAGTAACTCAATTAATCTCATAATTTACGTATCATCTGTTAGGTTGAAAACATTTTTTCGTATGATAATAAATTTTGCCTAATAAAAGTATAACATTGTCTTGGGGCGCTTCAATCGTCTTTTTTATTACACAACTTTCTACATGCGCAAAGGAAGTTCCACATTTTGCCACAGTATTATAAGGGTTTTTAAATTCCTGTTCAAGCAACAAATGACATATTTAGGCCAGAAATAAACACATATGTTTCTAGTTTCAAATTTCTCTATAGGGTTGAGCAAAAATGTCGTTCAATAATTGCTGGTACTCTTCAGCATTGTAAAGATAATCCTCGTCATCTATTAAACTCGTGCTGTTGTATCTGAAAAAAAAAATAACTCATATTAAATTATTTCCGAATTCTTAAAGTTTTTTTTTAGTATATTACCAAGATTTTTTAGATTCTCCACCAACCTGCGATGGTTGACTGGACAACTGTCATACGGCCGTTGCAAGTATGCAAATTTTAACGCCTCATTTGTTTTCATGTTATCAGGTCAATTATGCATGGATTTTTAAATAAAATGTGAATAGAAAGAGAGAATTTCTAAATAGGACATCCACAGTCTTTTAACAACAAACCTTTAATAATTCTGGCTTGGTTACTTGTAACTTGAACCCTGATGTGATAATTGCAAAAAAATTGACTTCAACGAAAAACTTCCTGGCAAATTATTTAGTATTTTCACAGATTATATAATACATACTACAATTTTACTTTAGTCAGTATTATTAAATTGAATGGTTTATAACGTCTTTTTATAACTATAAAACCATTTGTTCCAAAGTATGATTTCAAATTTATTTATTTATTTATTGGAAAGGTACACCAATTGAACCTTGAACATGCAATTGGTGTACCTTTCCAATAAATAAATAAATAAATAAATCTTAGTTATGCAGCACGCTTCTACCTACTTTAATTAAAAACATTATCTTTTTAGCATTTAGTCTGAAGATTACGATTTTTTAGCATTAATTACCTTCGTGTGTCTCGTTTTCTTCTGTTACTGACGTGTGATGTTGCTTCAATACATAACACTGCAAAATGATTATTGCACGTGTACCTGCAATTATAATTATTTGAATAATTGAATTTATAATCACAAGACGGAAAAGGGTAAAATTTTTGATGCAAAGTAAATCACTATTATGACAAATTTTACATTGATTTGAAAAGTGAAAACTTGTTAGTTATATAGAGCTATCGTTCGCCCGCGACTCCGTCCGTCTGGTGTTTTTAACAGTTAATAGCCTACGTGTTCTTCCAGACTATCCTCTACATCTATACCAAATTTCATCGAAATCCGTTTAACCGTTTAGGCTACAAACTCTAACAAACATCCATCCATCTATCTATCCATCTAAACTTTCACATTTATAATATTAGTATAAAGTAAGATATAATAAGGAGAAGAAGTTGATTTAAAAAAACTAGCTTATAACATATGAATAGATTGTTTCTGAATATGTGTTTTTAGGATTTATTAGTTGCTACCATACCTTTCTTGATTGAGTAGCTTGTGGGAGTAGAGGGAAGCCGCCATGCCGCGCGACTTAGGGTCGTTGCTCTGCCACTCGTCGCAGAATGTCTCCATCGCGCGTTCCCCATTCACGTATGACCCGTGCCATATGAACTTCTGTGGCCTATCGATAACAATATAGACAATACATATTGTATAAATGTAATCTACTTAGGTAACCTACTTGAAGTCTACTAGTTGTTTTTTAGTTTCTTTCGCAGTAAATTGTACGTATTTTTTTATTATCTGTTACATCATACACTACTGATATTTCCAAGGTCTTTTAATCAATGTGTTCTTTTAGCAAACTCATTTTTGTTATCATCAATTAACTTACCAGTTAGAGTCGGCCATGACGTTCTTGTCGTTGAAGCTGTATATCCTGGGAGCACCTGACATGAGACCTCCGCTGCCGTCGAAGATATCAGCGAAAGACTTGAACAGTAACTCGCCGCGCGTGTTCACCACAGGCAAGTGACGGTCGGAGTAACGCACCGTTGAGTCAAGGTTTTGGATTCTACAATTGTAATTGATTAGTAACCTGTCTTATGCTTATTTAAAAAATACAGCTGTTTAATGTAAATGAAATCCTACCTGCTGGTGAGTAGAGCTTTGAATGTACCCTTGAATCCTGCTCTACGAGCTTGTCTATAGCAGGCGTAGTCCGCACGTCGCACGCCATGCATGTCACCCGACAGAGGCTCATTAAGAGCCGCCAGTCGCAACTGCAAAAATAACGTTATCGTTAGCTCTCATTCATCACCAAAGAGTTGGAACTCCTACCTTATTTGAGGAATGACTTGGCCTTAGTCAACTATCCTGGTCCGGTGCGGATTAGTTGACTTCACCATGTCTTTGAATTTATAGTCATTAAGCGATAATTACCCTCTCTTTCAAAATGTTTTTGTTCAAACGGTACAACCATAAAACTAGTGTTCGGTCCTTGATAAATCCGAAAAATTAAATGTGTCAAAATGAAAACAAAACCAACATCTAAGCAGTTTAAAGGAATTCCAATGTAATTAACGTTACGTAACAAGGAAAAGTAATTTGTACCTATTTTATTATTATCATCGTCTTTCGTGTAACGACAATTAATGTTTTTAAATTTCGTAGCATTGTCGTTCTTAGGAGGATACCACAAGAGGTGACAAAAGCCGACATGGTCGAACCAATGTCTACTGACATGTTAGTATCAACTTAAATAATAAAAAAACATTTAGTACAACAGTTTTTTTAAATCTTAACCTTAATGCAGATAAGATTAGTTCTACATAGAATAATAAGTAACAAAATACGTGACCAAAATACCGTCAATGACCACTGACTATTTTTAAATTATTTCTTATTTTATCTTTAGCATAGCTGTCGGAACAAAAAACCTTTATTAACATTAATTTTATTGGTGTAGTAATAATAAAGATTCTAAAAAGAAGTATTACTGAAGCGAATGATATGGATGTTTGTTAGCAGAATTCTTCTTCAGAACGGCTGCATACATATCTAGAATAAGTTTAATATGGTTGTACAGTATTTTTTGGAAGTACACTTAGTATACTTAACAATTTTAAACGATGTAAAGTAAGAAATACTTACAGTGGGTCCTAGTGTTGTCGCAGGAGCTGAATTCTCAACTAAGTTAGTGAGAATAGGCAAGTGGACTAAACTCGCAGCTGGTAGTAGATGCGTTGGCGTCGTCGGCGCGGGCGGCGATGGTGCCGATTGCGTCACCAGTGAACCGAGCTGGTAAGAAAACAAACCAATTGAGTTTTGAAGCACTTAAAAAAGCGATAACTCGTTTTTTAAAATTGTGGTTATATTGATTTACTGGGTACTCATCATTAAAATAAAGTTATCTAAGCTTTTTTTTAAATATGATAGTTGAATATTTACCAGAACGTATTGCCATCCGGAGTTAACTTTGACGAAGAGAGCTTGTTCTTCAGCAACATAAGCCAATGCACCTACTGGACTTGTTGATGCCAGCTGAAATTGAGCATATAATTTTAACTAACCTAACCGTTTGTTTCCACAAGTATCACAAGTAATTATTTCGGTGATTACAATATATTTTAGGGTCTTAAGTTATTAAATGGTAAAGATCCTCTTAGATCTTACTCTCATCATTTCTTCAGTAGTTTGGAACACAGCAGCACTGGGTACTGACGGAGCGGGTTTCGGAGTATTGTCTTCATGATGACTTCTCGATTCCGTTGTACCAAAACCTGAGAAATAAACATCATATTTTAATCAAAGGTAAAGTTTACGTTGAACATTAGCTATTATTACCATTTTAGCTTATTTCAATATTATATTGATTACAACGGAAATTTTCAATTACTTGTAAATTTGAACCAAAGGTTTTTTGAGATCTCTTTGCAATCTCTCAGCAATTGTTATGTAATTTACTGCGATTCCTTAAGTTATAAGAACATCATTGAGTCCTAAACAATACTACACGTATAACTTTGAATAAGTTTACTTTTAGTAATAACGATGGTTGTACACAATATTACTTACTTCCACGTTCTCTAGATCTATCTTTCAGATCTTTGAGTTCTCGCAGAGCTTTGAGCTCATCCATAGGACTCTTAGCGACTGTTCCACGTAGCATGGAATAGAAACATTATTATTGCAGTGTATTCGCCTTATATCTTTGTTTTTTTTTGTGAATGGATGTGAGGTGAATGAATAATTTATGTACTTAATTTTTTATTGCAGAGAACTACTTTAACTACCTATATAAATTAGAACTTACTCGGTTTCCCATAAAATTTGGTGCTGCCGTGTGTGGGATATTCCTCGTAGTAGCTTTGACCTGGTTCGCCCTTTGGTCCTACGATAGACACGCCCGGTGAGCCCGGTGGTCCTGGTGGTCCTGGCGGTCCTGGAGGACCAGGCAAGTACTGCGCGGCTTCGGATCTCAATACTGAAGTTCCAGGGGGACCTGGCAGTCCTTGATCACCTTTCGTACCTGGCGTTCCGTCTAGACCTCGATCGCCTTTTTCGCCTTTAAACTGTAAAAGAAACATTACTTGTTTATGCCGCGCCCTAACATGTAGTACTTTGATGAGATTTCTCGCCACTCATATACATTTCGCGCTTGGCAGTGTATATTAATATTTGATAGTTCTCATTGTATTCGTTATTGTTCGCATCATTGCGTTTTGTAGAATTCTCTCGTTGTGTTTGTAAGTTCGACAAACAATTACTTACTCCCTTTATCTTTAGTTTTCTGTTGTTAATTAAATATTATTTATTTGTCTCGTCACCCCAAATTCTATAATAATATACATACATAGTAAATTATTTTTACTAGTAATCAACATAACTCAACTTTACTCATTTTTTTCTACAAAAATGTTGTAACTGAATTGATTTAGCTAAGATAAATTAAAATCGTTGACTTAAGTGAAAAATAACGACAATTTAAAAAGAAATGTTAAGTGTGTCGTGTAAAATATATCGCATTTAATTAATTTGTTTTACTTTTAAAAGTTTGAAGTGGCAATCTCTTGGTCACTGACCTTTAGGAGTGCGTATAACCTGCTCTTAGGCCATTTAATCGTACTTGTAATGTTTAAAAAAACAACAATTTATTTGTTTAAAGCATGCTACAGATGTTCAGTTCGACTCTTTAGATAAACTTTTTAGAACTGATCGTATTTAGACGGCTTAATAATCATTTAAAAAACAAAACACTGTATCAAGATGACCTCAAGGACATTAAAAAAAATTTAAATTAATGATACGCTACGACGCATAAAGAATCTTCTATCGTGACATTGAATTTATCATCTACAAAAAAACCTAATAAAACCTGAAAATGCATATATTAACGAAATTGCCAAACATATATTTGCATTATTTTATGCCAATTTTAGTACTTATTACGTAAACGGTTTTTATTCGTCCGATAGACTAGTGCTCATTGCACATTGGTCACCTCCAAATCATTGTTTATCACAGTCTTAGGATTCCGTAGAGAATTAAAAGATCCATATTAAAGATTGTTTAATAATTGCAAATAAAAAAAAAATCTTTAATGCAAGGAACATTATTATTATTAATTCAACATCAAAGAAATATAATATTTAAATGTTTTCAAAGATGACCTTTTTACAAACAACTTTAAATACTTTTAAAAATACTTTAAAAACTTTAAATAGATTTTTAGCAAACACATATATGTACATCAATCATTGATACCGTAACTAGTATCCAGCGCGGATTTTAAACAAATCATAATAATTGAATACCGTTTGGCTTGAGGAATGCAAACTTGACCAAAAAACAATAAAACTTACTTAACGCAGTATGGCGCGTATAATAAATAATTATGGTAAATAAATAATCGGCGTTCAGTATTGAAAAAATATGTGTCTAGTATTAGGTAAAATTTATATTTTAATACTCTTAGGGTAAAATTTTGCAAATTTTGCCAAATGTTGTTTTGAATGATTTCTTTATTTAATTGTAATGATACACCACTTATATTTCAATAAATGGAGACTCTTCTCTTCAATGGAGGGAGAGGGAGAAATAAGAGGAGAAGAGAGAGGGGAGTTTAATAATATGATTTATAAAATTGCTGCGCAAAAATAATTGTTAAGTAAAACTATTCTGTTACAATCTTAGATAAATATACTGCATGAAAATGTAATGAACCCAATAACTTGAACGATATTATCTTAGTTTATTTTACCGTGATATGGATAAGGTTATTCGCACTCCTGCTCCGCTATAGAGCACACGTTACCAAGGCCAGTGAAAAGTGTCCGTTTCTGGTTAATATGTGGTATTTCGTGTTAGTATTTGTGATTGTGTTATATCTATACAGTATTAGTGCATTTAATTATTGGAAGAAGAGAGGTATAAAACATGATCCTCCGATACCATTTCTTGGGAATAACATGCGACAGTTTTTTCAAAAAGCAAGTATGGCGATGTTAGCTACAGAAGCTTACAATAAGTATCCAAATGAAAAAGTAGTTGGGTTCTTTAGAGGTATGAAACCGGAATTGGTAATTAGAGACCCAGAAATAGCAAAGAGAATCTTAGTGACTGATTTCCAACATTTTTATGCTAGAGGTTTCAATCCACATAAGACTGTTATTGAGCCCCTTTTAAAAAACCTATTCTTTGCTGATGGTGATTTATGGCGTTTAATAAGGCAACGATTTACTCCGGCCTTCAGTACGGCTAAATTAAAAGGTATGTTTCCTATTATTACTGACCGAGCAGAAAAATTACAAATCATCACAGAGGAAGTGTCTCATTTAGATTCATATGATGTTCGCGAATTAATGGCAAGATATACTACTGATTTTATCGGCGCTTGCGGTTTTGGAATCTCTATGGACTCTTTGAGCAATGAAAATTCTGAATTTAGAAGATTAGGTAAAAGAATTTTCGAACGAACCCCAAAAGATGCTATGTTTGCGGCTCTAAAATTATTATTTCCGGAGTTATGCAAAAACCTCAATTTCTTAGATCCGGAACTAGAAAAATCAATGATTTTTTTGGTACAAACTGTGATGAAAGAACGAAATTATAAACCCTCAGGGAAAAACGATTTTATCGATCTCATGTTGGAACTTAAAGAAAAAGGTACAATAATTGGTGAATCTATTGAGAGTAAAAATAAAGACGGAACTCCAAAAGTAGTAACATTGGAAATGACAGACATGATAATGATAGCTCAAGTCTTTGTATTCTTTGGAGCCGGATTCGAAACATCATCTACGGCGTCCAGTTACACTTTACATCAATTAGCTTTTAACCCAGAATATCAAAGGAAAGTCCAAGAAGAAATTGATCAAGTCTTAAAAAAATACGACAATAAAATTACTTATGATGCTGTAAATGAAATGGCGTGTTTAGAAAACGCTTTTTACGAAGCAATGAGAATGTACCCATCAGTAGCATATATCGTAAGAATGTGTACATCACCGAAGTATACAATTCCCGAAATCGGGGTTACAATAAACGAAGGTGTCAAAGTTATGATTCCAATCCAAGCTATGCATAATGACGTGAGTTACTTTGAAGAACCAGAAAAATTCAATCCCGAAAGGTTTAATTTGGGCAGAAAACAATTTAAGGATGTTTTCCTACCTTTTGGTGAAGGTCCAAGAGCTTGTGTTGGTGAGTAGTGGCACTATAGTTATTATGATTAAAACTTTAGGAAATAACGTATGCAGTAATAAGCATCAGAGTCCTATTAAGTGAGCCTAATATTTTGTACTACCGTATAAATAACGAAAACGTTTGCGTCAGTTTCAATTAGTAACATCTATACGAAGGTCGATCTCGATCATTTCAGCAATTTAAAGGAAGTTTTGCATCAAGCAACTGATAACATTTAGTATAAACATTTATAATTGACTTTACAAACGTGATAGGAACATATGTAGATTTTAAAGCATATTGAATTGATATGCGTTTGAGAGCTATTATAAAAATAACGATCTAATAAGGTGATAAGAAATCAAAACAAGGCAGCAAGATAAATGTAAAGTTCATTGTATTTCATTCTATTTAAAGTGAGCCCTCTGAAAATGTTAAACAGGTTCAGTCATTTATTTTAATAGTACCGGTTGTCCAGTTTGTATAAAAAACAGCTTTTTAAATGTTATACGTTGCTCAAAACTAAAGGAAGGACTGGCTTAAGTTGTGATGTAAATTCAACATTTATGTCATACGGTACACTAATAATACTCGTGTGTCCAGTAAATCGGTCTACGTTGTTAGGTAATGTCTGCTTTTGTAAAACCTGTTCTTGTCATTTTTGCTTGATTCACGTATATTATGGACATACTGTTATTATAGTAGGTACATAATTTTGAAGCAGGTTATTGGTCATTTTTTTGTTATTTGTGACCAACTAAACTATATGAAGAGTAACAGCAAATGTAAATGTTTTCGTGACTTTTCTTACATTACCAAAAAGTGATCATTTATTCCGGTTGTAGAATAGGAAGTAGTAATGTTAAAAAATAAATTGTTGTGATTTTTCAGGCGAAAGACTAGGACAGATGCAGTCCATGGCAGGTCTTGCAGCAGTTTTACAGAAATTTACAGTGGAACCGGCTAAATGTAGCGTAAGGGATCCAAAGCCGGAACCCACAGCAATCGTAGCTGAAGGTTTTGTAGGCGGATTGCCGCTTAAAATACGGAAGAGAGAGAAATGAAGTCCAAAAAATAAGATGTAGTGTAAATAAGATATATATTATGGCAATAGGGTTTTAACATATTTATTTTAAGTTATAGAAAATAAATGTTAATATCATATTGTACTTGCCATTGACACGTCGAGAATGTTGACTCCAGGATCTCCTTTTTCACCCTTGGGTCCAACAGTACCTGGTGTACCTGGAGGACCTAGTGTACCTGGTCGTCCCTGAACATAAATAAAAACAAGACTATTGCATAGTATTGTTATTGTAATAAACATAAAATAATGTTATATGCGATTACAGTATTTTACCTTGACATTCTAATTTGGCAGCGTGAAAAAGAAAAACTTTTAAACTTAACAACATTGTGGCTATATTGTGATTTTTTATAAATTAAGATTAAAGTATTATTATTTCACTTATAATTTATTTTTTCACTTACCATCCATCCAGGAAGACCGACTTCTCCTTTTTCGCCTATCCGTCCCGGGGTTCCGGGAGGGCCTTGAATACCTTGAAGTCCTCGAGACCCGGGAGGGCCCGGCCTTCCCCTCCTTCCACGTATGCCAGGCTCTCCTTTGTCACCCTGCACATGTGTAATTATTTATTAATAAAACTGTTTCCAATATTTATTCCACAGTACACAAACGTACACTCAGTACGTAAAGAAACATAGTAATTTTTTATCATCTATTTGAAGGACAGTAACATGTGACATATAAAGAGAAATTCTAAAATGTTCTGCAATTTTTTTTGCTGTCGCGGGGAATGCATTTACGCACTTCACCGTATGTTCTGCAATTTAGATGTCCAAAGTCATACCTTGATACAATCAACACTAAATACTAATGTATTTGACAATAACGTAAGTCTACGAAAAAGTTACAATTTCTTTCAAATTGTTGTTAAATAATAGTGTTTAATTATTCACATACTGATTTTTCTTTCGCATTCTCAGATTTAATGTATTTACCTTTATAGTTAAAATGTCGGATCCTGATGTTGTGACGCTGACTGGCCCCGGAGGTCCTCTCTCTCCTTTATCTCCCTTCAGACCGGGTACACCTGGAGGACCGGAAACTCCCGGCATCCCGGATGGTCCAATGTCCCCTCGTTCTCCAGACTTTCCATCTTTTCCTGGAAACCCAGGAGTTCCATCGTTGCCTTGAACCCCTTTTTCGCCCTGTCAAAAGTATTTATTTTCAAATGTATAATTGAGTCGAAAGAGTTAAAGAACCTTTATGTAGACTATCGACTTTTGTAGTTTTAACCAAATTTAAATGTTTGAAATATTTGGGAGGACAATAAAATTATGTTTACCAATGTACCTTTTCACCTTTTACACCTTTTTCTAGCTGTAATTCCCGTTGCCCTATAAAAAAATAAGTTTCAAATTAGTATTTCTATGAATGCAGTTCTGTTAAAATACAGATAGGTAATGACTAAAATTTATATTCCATACCAGTAAATAAAAGTTCGCTGTGTCCAGTTAAACCATCAACAGGCGGCGCGGGTGGGCCAGGTGGGCCGGGTAAACCTCTTTCACCTAAGAAAAACCGTGTTTAAATTTAAAACGAAAAAAAAGGTTTGGTTAAAAAAAATAGTGTTGGCGACGAATACGTATACACCGTCGTGAGAAAAAGTTCAGCCAATAAATTCCAAGGCGAAATTAAAATGTTTTATGATATCACTTA